AAAAAGATTATTAATTTAACCTTTTAGAAGGGAAGATATGGTCATTTGTTCTGGGAATGTCATTTTCGAGCCTGAAACCTGAAAAACAGGCTCGGGGTTTAACAGGTTTTAAATAAGCAACTGTTTGCAAACAATTGTACTCTCTTAAAGGTGGTGACTTTGTATTCCAACTCTATACTGCCTTCAAGTAGTCAAAACATTATTGCAGGAGCAGGATATATACGTTGATATGTCATATCATCTTAAAGTTTATCCAGGCATATTTATCACTGGCTCAATGTATTTCTCTTTGCAGGGCCCACCTGGACCACCTGGACCCTCAGGCCCAACAGGGGAAAAGGTAAAGGGCTCTATTATCCTACCAGTGCCCTTCCACTTTCCATTTGTATTGCTAACTGAAAATGTATTTGGTTGTTGTGTTAAAACCATATCATATTATCATAAATGAATCTCTCTCTTTGTCGTCTTCCAGGGTGAGCTTGGTTTACCTGGGCCAGCAGGATTTGATGGACAGAAGGTGTGTGGAAATGAAACACAGGCTAAAAACGTTTTTCTTTTCTTTGTTTATGTTTTTTAAAGATACGAATATATCTTTTTTCATTATTTGCCTTCAGGGACCTCAAGGTGACATAGGTGAGGAGGGACCAGCTGGCCACACTGGAGAGAAGGGGGAGATGGGGCTCTTTGGGCCTGCTGTAAGTAATGAGAGTAAACATGTTTCTCTGATACACAAACAGTGAGAAGCACATAGAAGTTGATTTGTTATCTTTTTTTGTTTAGGGAATGGACGGTCATAAAGGAGAGAAGGGCGACTACAGGGTAGAGGACAACCTGGTTAGTGAAACACACATGCAATAAATATTTCACTCATTTGTGTCATTTTGTCAGTGGGGTCAGGACATTGACATTATGTATTTTCAGATTTGTTATTTACATTTGCTAGCACATAAAGAAATAACTAGCTTTTGTAAATTGACAAAAAACATCTACCCTCCTCTGAGGCAGTTTAAATGTGGCTATTTATTCCCTCACCGTAGATTTATTTATATTTATTGTTATCTTATCTCCGAATCTTCTCATTTCCATGGGGCTCAGGTTCAGATGATTTCACAGCAGGGCCCACCTGGCCCACCAGGAATTCCCGGGGCCCCTGGATCCATGGTGAGTACTAGCTATCACTCTCCAATTAGAAAGGTTTCATGTCAAGTTTGTTGTCTGCACCTGTTAAACGATAGTACTCTATGTTTTTCAGGGGTTGCATGGTATGCCCGGTCCTAAGGTAAGACTGATAGACCCTGCATCTTCAGTAGTGAGAGGTGGAAGGTTTGACATGATGTTTGGTGCTCAGTGTTGCTGTCTTTCTAATGCAGGGTGAGCCTGGATACGGGATGAAGGGAGAGCAGGGGGATTATGGTGCTCCTGGCCCCAAAGTAAGTGATACATTTTAAGCCAGGGGTGTCAAACTCAAGGTCCGGGGGCCAAATCCGGCCCGTGAATTCATTTTATGTGGCCCCACAAGAGCTTGCAAAGAATATAATTCACAGTTTATTATAAGGTTACATGCCGATTCACAGAAGCACGTTGCCCATAAACTACATGTAGCACAATGCCTCTCAAATTTCACTTGTTTCTCAGAATTTGACTTTTTTTCTTCAAAATATTCATTTTTCTTAGAATTTGCCTTTTTCTCAGAATCTGATGTTTTTTTCAAAATGTCATTTTTTTTGGGGGATTTTGACTTTTTTTCCAGAATTTGGCTTTTCTTTTAAAATCATTTTGTGACATTCTCACTGAAGAGACTTATTAAGTTACTCTATCCGATAATAATCCAATGCAGAGGCAATAATGTAATATAATACATTATTTTATATATATTACATTTTTATATATGTATTTTTTATATTCTTGTATATAAAACTGGCCCTTTGAGTGCAATCATGATGCTAATGTGGCCCGAGATGAA